TCGACCATTACAGCCCTCAATACCTCTTTGGGAATAAGATGGTCGTTCTCAACAGTGTTTAAGCTTGCTGGAAAGAGAAAAATCATGACTTTTACCTTCAAAAAGAGAAAAATATACATAAAAGCGAAGCTCCGTGAGGTAAAAGTACTGACCTAAGGTAGTAGTGATGTGATGAAGTCTCAATGCTGCAAACAATCCTGCATGTTTTACGAATAATTCGCCTTCTGGATAATTAGTGAAAGTTTCAGTCATTTGACGTTGAAAATCTGCGTCGGGTAGAGCAGCTGCGTGAGGTTTTTCGTTGAGAAATATCCACTAGAAGAAAAACAAATCAGGAAATGCTAAAATTGTGATGCATGCATCTCACCACTTTGACCATTTGATACAAATCCATTTCACCTTCCATGATCAACAATTCCGAGGAGGAGATCAACCGAACAAAAGTGTCTTCTCTAGATGAATAAAGTCTATATACGAACAAAACAGAGCAGAGTGAAAACACTCACTTCAGGGCCTTGATATGCTCCTTTGACTTCATAAATCTCCAGAAATTCCATTTGAGAAGGTGATATGCTCGATCAGTCACCTAGCTCATCACTACTAATTCGATTGAACTCAAAATTTTCACGGATACCAACCTGAGGGAGTCCATACATTTCCGATAGGTTCAGATATCTCAGTACATTGGTAGCTGAAAGATTTTCTGCCATTGCGTCCCCACAACGTTCCAGAACACTCTCCTAAAAAGGAATCCCTAGTAAAAAATAAGGATGAAACAGTAACGATAGAAATGACATATAATCGAGCAAGAATGAACAAGGCTCACCAATTGCAGCACGGATGCTGCCGAAAGAACTCCTTCAGCGTTATCCAAGTCGAGCTCGATTTGATTATGATACAACGAACCCAACACAGCATGGAGACCTAAAAGTAAGAGATAAACAAAATCACACGTCTTCCTAACTCCAAGGAATCTTAAGGTAGAAGAAGGGGTAGCGGTTAAGGGCAATACTAAACTTTATCGTTTGTGAAAGCACGTACTGAAGGGCATAACACCATGATGAGCCAGAAAA